AGATAGATAGATAGATAGATAGATAGATAGATAGATAGATAGATATGCATGCATGCATGCATGCATGCATGCATGCCACCCGACTCCCAGCAACTCAACTCTGGGATACATTTGGAGAATGTGTCATGGGCCCCTCTTGAAAAATCTACTTCTCATCACTTATTCATGCACCATGCTCGGTCCTAGCCCTGCTTGTTTTTTGCACATTCTTGTGGATAGATAGGAACATTTCCAAGCAACTGGAATAGGTACCCTTTTTTTTTTTTTTTAATTTTCTAAGTAAATTATGAATCCAAGGAACATCCTTGGAAATAAAGATGCAGAATATTTGTGCCTGACTTTGCAGAATGCTAGCTTCTATATTCATGTGTAAAAGAACAGGTGGAGCAAGGATCATGGCAGAAACCAAGAAAAGTATTCCTAAGTACACTGGGGATTCCAGGAGTAACATCTTTTGGTATGCCTTAACCTTCAGTACATTTAGCTGGCTGCTACTGTAAATGGAGTACCAAAATAAATAGATTTTTTTAATCTGATCTAATTAGGCATTTATGATTATATGTCAACTACTAACTAATTGAATAAGATAGTGTTGTATCTGTTAGTCTATTCCTGTATAGCTAAACCTGCTTATAAGCAAAATGTATTGTGTTTCATTTATTGAAAGTTTAAATTCCCTGCATATTACATAAACAGGTAACAGTATTCTTGTTTTTTTCCAGTCTCGTTGATTCATGGGGAGAGGATATTGGAGTCTCTTCTCTCACATTTCCATCAAAAACCTGTTTGGAACTTCTGTTGATACTGTCCCAGAGTAATGCTTCATTGCCCCCTTCCCTTCGCTGGATGAATTCTTTCCAGGTAAAGAAATCATACTCTTTTCACATAATTAACTAACATTGCAAAAATAAGGTTTAGAATCCAAATCTTTATCCAGATTGAATAGTTAATAATACCAGATGTTACACTGACCTTTCTTTGCTCTCTTCATTTATTACCCAATTATGGTTTGGATGAATCATTTGTATCCATATCTGCACAAAATGGAAGATAATGTATGAAACTGAAGATAAGGTTGCATTTGCGTCTTTAATTTACTGAAAATGTTACATGTTCTTCCTCCTTTGTGCAAGATGTGCTGAGTGCTTCTAGACAGTGATTCTTTTCTGCCTTTTGAATGGTCCTCTCCCCCATCAGTCATACAGCATTGTCTTGAAATGTTATCTAATGCGCTCATGGAAGATAAATTTCCAAAACTCCAGTTACTCACTGTCTTTGGGAAATCCCTTTCTCTTCTTTCTGCTTCACTTCATAAATGGATGAAACCCAAAAATCTAATGAGTTCATCATACTTGTGGGCATATTTTTTCACTGGAGTGACTATCTGCCACATTTTTAGCCACCAGCCGTAACTAGTGCTTTTAGTTATCAATTTAGCCCAATCTAATAACATGCTGCAGTGATCCTTGCTACCAGGGGAAAGCTCCTGGATGCAGTTTTGCTGACATACTACTCTCTGTTGTATCCCTAGGGGTCCCAGAGTCAGGAGCCAAGCAGGGCTCTGACAGGGACTCAGACCACGATGAATCTCAGTTTATTCCTCTTAAGGGGAAATGCTTGACTCCATTTCCTCTGTTTTAGGAAAGCCATCAACACTCTCGCAGATGGCGGATATAGCCCTCCAATCACCTGATAGGGTTTCTAGGCCATTTTGGAGAAAGGGACAGCTGGATAGACAGCACCAAGAGGGTACTGAGCAAAGGAATCCTGTGGCTCTTAGGACCTTTCTTGAGGAGAAATAGGAGCTGGGACAGTAGTTCTTAAAGTAAGCGCTAATCCAACCTGTACTTTCTTACTCTGAGCTTTATTCTCTGCCAGAGCCCAGACCTACCTCATTTGTTAGGAATACCTGTCCTTAGCTAGCTATTGTAAAGACTTCAAAGAAGCCAGGGGACTGTCTCAGGTTTGCCCCCATCTCATCCTCACAGGTTTTCCTGGGATGCCAAACTTCCCAGGGCTTACTAGAATGCCATCTTAACCTTGTTTTTTTTACAGCACAGTTCTGGCACCATGGTAAAGAAAGATTTTGAGGCTTTACCATGCATTTGTCACTATATTTAAAAAGCAGTTTACCTCTTGCAGTCACCTTCATAGCAATTAGTTGGGAAGATTCTTTTGCAAACCACCAGGAAAATGTACAAATATTGCTATGTTATTTATAAGTTGCTGATTATGATAAGACCCCAGGTTTTTATAATAAAAGAGTACATTCTGGATATTTTATCTGAGGTCAATGTGATTTCTGTTTCAAGTAGAAATAAGAATTCTCTATTCTGTTCAGCTATGCGGATATAATCATTTAAGGGAGGCAGGTACCTTGATATGCTTGTGTAATAAAATGCTGAAACGGCTGTAGCTGGCTTGAGGGAAGAACTTTACCAGTAAATGGAAAATTCAGATAGGAAGACTGTTTGGAATAGAATATAGTCTTCTATAGTTGGTGGGAAAGCCACTCCTAGGAGCCATTCTGTTAAATTGGATAATAATAATACATTTAATTGCATTTTGGGTCTTATTTTATTTTGGAAATATGTAAGCTGTATAAATAAATACATCAGAAGTAATTCCATCACTTTATGTCATATAGGAGGTTCAGCATCACAAAGACAGAATACAGGATTTTTTTCTAAACCATTGGAAAATCCTATTCCAGAAATACAATTTTAAAGCCACATAGAGATTTTGTTTTAATAAAGAAAAAATGGAAATGATGGTTCAGGAGCAAGATGAAATCACTGGATTTGACAGGATCGATATATTTTCAACATAAATACCTATTGCCACTCCTCTTAGAATCTATTCAATCTGTTTAGATTATGGCCTGATGAGAAATGACCACAGAATCTACAGATACTATTTTTTAATGCAAAGCATTAGGATACATAACTCTGCTGTTATCCAACACACACACACGCACACACATACACACACACCTGCATGCTATCCTTGGCTGCATTGACTTTATATTTCTTGCCTGAAAGAGCTAATGTACATGCACATTTTCTGTTATGAACGGCTTAAAGAGAAACCAAAATTACAGCCTGGAACATTACATTTCTCCTCCCCCACATTCAGTTTTATATACCCATAAAAGAAAACATCAATGGTCTGTTTAATTCCAGCAATCCCTGTTTCACTTTGTAACCTTCAGAGTTAATGTCTGACAGATACTAAAGTGAAATGCTTGCTTTTTCCACAACAGCAGTGCTGGGAGAAATGTGTTAAGTTGTCTGATGTACCATCATAAAAATTCAATATCTAAAATGTTGTATGCTTGAGTTCTTGTTTGCTTTGGTTTTCTGTAGCCCAGATGTCAAAGAAGTCAAGGTAACACTAGCAAAACACCAGCAGAATTTGTTTCTTGTTTTCATGCATTTGCTTATATTGTCATAAACACTAAAGCTTAATTCTATAGTATCACCTTTTTATGCTGAGAAGCTTACCAGTTTGATACATACACGTGGAGGTTTTCTATAAGTTTTATTTACTTTAAACAGAAGCTTCATAACTAAATGTTATTTGAAAAATACATCACATAGACACAGATGGAATTAGAAAAAGGAAATTAACCAACAACTGGGAAGGGCAGAGACACTTCATGGAGCTGCTTGGAGCCTGGATTCAAATGCAGAGCTTTTAAAATGTTCTTAACAGACTGGCTCAATTTGGACAACTGCTTTTCCTCTCCCCTTCATTTATTGCTTGTTGACTTTAGTTCAGAGACCCTACCTGGCATCATGTCACGATGCCCTTTATATCCAAACTGGGAAACTCACTAAATGCTTATTAACAAGCCAGGAAAGGGGAGTTCTGAATGCAAGTTAAAATCTTCACCCCAAACCAAGAAACAGTGGAGGAAAAGGGAGTATCCCAGGTCACACATTTTCATCAGCAAACATCATTCTTTTGGAAAGCCATCTGAACGGCTATCTTTTTTATATTGTTCTTGAATGTTCCCAGGGAGGCCAAATTGGATACGAGCACAAGTCCTATAACAGAGAAGAGATGGAATGTATTCTCATGAGTGGAGGCCCTTTATTGGGAAGAAGAGATTCTGCAGCCAAAATCCCAGGACGTTTCTTTTTCAACATGTATCAGCCTGTCAGTTTCAACAGAAGTAGTCTGAAATTTGGCAGAAGGCCGTCTGGCTAGTCCTTTCCGTCTAAAGCTCCAAAGACACGTGGTGCCAGCAGAACTCACAACTCTGATTCCCGGTTGAACGCAGGTCCAGAACAGCAAGGTTTCCATATATGTACCTTTCTTGTCTGTTGTCTAGTGCTGAGCACAAATGACTTGAAATCGTGGCCCCTCAGCAAAATGTTAACATGCAGAGCATTTTCAGTTAGTGAAATGTTCTGGTTTATAAAGTAACTTTGGCTGTAATTTCTATAAAATCTCATCATTTCTAATTTTAAAATGAAGATCGTCTTTAAAAAAAATATTCTATTCAACTCCTAGAAAAAGAATAGAGTAGGGTTTTAAAGACTGGTGCATCTGATGCTTATTATTTACCAAGCGTCAAAAGCGAAACAGAAACCCACGCCATGCTGATAAATATCTCTAAAGTCTTACTGAAGTGTGGTGGTATTTCATAGCCGAGCAAATGTGTTTGAAGACACTAGGGATTTTAAAGGAGAGGACTCTCCCCCACCCGTTTCCATTTTTTGTTAGGAAACAAAACTACTTCTCTGAAACACCATTCCATACAGGAAGAGTTCAAAAGATGATCTGGTTTCTGAAAAGCCAAGTGACACTGAGTCAACATTCTTTCCGAAAGGAAATGTGTAATATTACTGAGGCTTGTAACACACTGCGAGCTATGGTTGTAAAACCGAAAAGCAATTTGGATGTGACGAAGGGTACTGGGCTGGAGAAGAGAAGTTATTAGACATGTCTTGTATTTGCTGAAGTACAAGAGGTGCTTGAGTGTATTACATCCTTTCCTTTGGTGCCCCAGAGTGTCGTCTCTGACAGCTACATGTAACTTGCCTGTTCTCAGTGAAATCAGAGCCCTTTGTTTCCTCACATTGGTAATGATGAGGATTCATGTTCCAATCAGGCCACCCCATTTTTAGTTGATGGCCTCTCGATAAAGAATTGTGGGCTGGTTAGACCCCAGAAAGAAATAATTGAAAATGGGCCTGCTGCTTAAATGGAAGCATCCAAGTGATTAAATGTGCCTGTTTTAGAGAATGACAGAATCCTAAGAAGTTGCTAGACATGAAGGAAGCAGTTTCCTACCCTTAGTTTGAGGCAGGCAGGATAACAGTCCTGTTCATAAGCTTTCATTTGGGTTAAAAGACCAGAAGGAAAGGCGCAAAGTTATCATGGGCCACTTGGTCTGACTTTGCAGCTCTGGTTCCTATAGTCAGCAAAGGAGGGTTTGCTTTTCTTTCAGTGTGTAGAATCACATTGCTTTTGGCGTGTAGAAGAGCAAACACCTTACTCTCCTGAAATCTCTTCCTCTCCAATCTCTCTGCTTTTGTGGGGGGGAGGGTCAGGCAAAAGAGAGAGTGCCTACAGAAATTGCTTGCTTTTTTCTCTCCATTCCTCTCACAGAGCGAAGAAGTTGGAGAAAAAGAGATTTCAAGAGAGTACTATAAGCTGTTTGTGTAGTGGTCCTGTGCCTCCCAGCCCTGGGCTGTGGTGCAATCGCATTGCTTTCAATGTGTACAAGACAGCGGGCATTGAGTATTCCAAAGGGCAGGGGAGTGGTTAGGAGGCAAACAAAAGCTGAAGGTGTGAAACTCACTAATCTTGTCTCTTTCCAGCCTTAAAGCACAGTTGTGGTCACATGATTTCCCACTTAGTGACCACTTTGCTTAGTGTGGAGTTGCCAGTCCTAATTAGGATCGTTAAGTGAAGACTACCTGTACCTGTATGTTACTGAAAACTTCTCAAAAGTGAAGTTGATAGAAGTAATTACAGTTTAAAATCTTTTCATGTGTTTTGCCCATATCTGTTGTGTAAACCAAAAGTAATTCTTATCTTGTGTTATTAATTATAAAAAATAAATTATACAAGCCTGTTGCTCTCCAATCTTTTGCAAACAACCTTTTGCTAAAGCCCTCTATTGCTTATGGTCTCTAGTTTTGCTCTCCTGAGATTGGTCTGACTCTGACCATTGTTTCTGTTGCAATGATGGGTGCAAATGTCTCTCTTACCTAATGTGTCTAAAAATTCTGAAACCTCTTTTGGGATGAAAGTTTTCTAATGTTCTTGCTTCACCTAGGCCAAATGATAGCTGGGCAGATTCTGATGTGATTATCCCATGACAGTAGTTTGTAGGATTAAATCTAGCCTGGAGCTAAAGCCCAAAATTGGGTTAGAGTTATATTTAGGATTAGGATTATATTTGACCCAACATTGATATATTGGACATCTGCAAACACACACAAAACCAGATGTGTTGGCTTTCCTATACAAATGCCTACACTTAACATATTGATGCTGCAGGATCAAGCCAACAGGACTACATCATCTCAGGGATGGGGAAGAGAGGCAGCCTTGTTCTGTGTTTCTCCTTAAGGAGGTTTTTTTGGGGGGGGGTGCCTTCAAGTCAGTGTTGACTCCTGGTGACTGCCTGGACCAGTCCCTGCAATTTTCTTGGCAAGGGTTTTTTGGAAGTGGTTTGCCCTTGCCTGCTTCCTAGGGCTGAGAGAGAATGACTGGCCCAAGGTCACC